CTTGTTGCTTGATTCGAACATCGCCATGGCTCCCTTTGCCACCCTGGGTGCCTGGGTTGCTTACTGAGCCACTCAAAGATGCTGACTGGGGATTGCCTATACTACTACTGTACATACTTGTTCTTTACCATGCCATGCAGAGTTCCTGTCACAAAGAGGGGTCCGCGATCCTTAATTTCAGGGATGATGACCTCGAATCGAGTTCCAACGCAGCTGACAGCGATGCGAGATGCATGATCATCCGGATCTCGTGATTCTGGCCCCTAGAGAGTGTCCTTGCAAGAGCGAGATATCAATCAACACCATATCGTGACGTATATAAAGCTACACAACTACAGCCAGGGTGTCCTGCGTCCGGGCTTCCCCTATAAAATAGACATCGTGCTGGTTTATATCGGGAGCCCATGTCCATCGCATACAAGATGTTTCCAGTGCGAGCAACGCTCGTGCGCTCGATTGTCTGGTCTGTGCCTCTGTAGCTTTGATAGGTGAGAGTGTGTCTAAAACCCCCCGAATGAGCATGCGAAGGCTTCAAGTTCCTACTCTTCAATCATTCCGGCGTTGTCGTCATCCAGGAGCTTTCACGATGAAGCAAGCATCCGCCATGATGCACCAAGCCTGCAGCATGACCACGTCGGGCGGCGTAAAGACGTTGAGACAAAGATGGCGACGATGGAGGTTCTAGAGTGACAAGCTTTGGCTACTCCTTCCAGTGAAGAGTTACCTGCTCGACCGTACTACGGGCGAGTATTGCGAGGCGAATATATGTACCGAGTACTGGAGAACAATTCACGAAAGAACCGCTCTTCGAGTCTGAAATACTGCGAGCCGAAAGATCCGGCCTCGCTCAAAGTATGGCAGTGCCCGACATTCACTTGTGTAGCGTAGAACTTGGGCCAACCCCTTGGCCCAATGTATCCGGGCCTTTTGTTTGTTGGCAAGGAATATAATTGTTTTATCATGTCCGAATTTAACCCCATGCACGGATTCGACGTCGAATACAACCACTCATCTTCCAGGGCGAGATTGGGAATCGCTCAGGTCCTCCGCCGATGAAGCGGACGACAAGTTTCTTCCCTCACTGACCTGTTTCATGACTCTTTCAAGGGTTGGAAAGATTCCCATTGCAAACCCACCAATAGGAATGTAGAAGAAGATGGGGATCTCTTCATGCAGGGCAGGGATTTCTTCATTCCGTTTCCAGTCTAGGCCGATCAGCCTCAGAAACGAGTCCCCACAATGGCCTTCTGTGTGGTCAGGAAGCGACGACAAGAGAGGCCATATCTCACCGATGGCAGCCTTCATGCTGGATTCAACGGAGCATAGACTTGAGACACGGTCCTTTGGCTTCGGACGAAGTAGTGGCTTTCGGTGGAACACAATGGGCCGAGTCCAGGAAACGTTGTCTATATAATGGGCTGTGGCCTGCAACAGTTACCATCTTCTTCCCAAGCCTTCTCCTCAGATCGCTCTTCTCTAGACAAAAGCAATCTTCGCCCTTTCCTATCCAGAGTCATCACCGGCCTCTTAGATTGTATCTCATCGTCATGTCACCAGACACTCTCTCTTTGAATGGCAAAGTCGCCATCATTACCGGATCAGGCAAAGAAAATGGTATCGGTGCAGGCATTGCTTCCACCCTGGCGCGCAACGGAGCTTCGGTAGTTATCAACTACGTCTCCGACACATCTGCGCCCCGCGCTGCTGAGGTGGCTCAGAAGATTGAAAATGCTGGAGGCAGGGCCACGGTTGTGCAGGCGGACGTATCGACTCAAGAGGGTGCCAAAAAACTCGTCAAGGCATCGCTCAAGGCTTTCCAGTCAGACAAAGTCGATATCCTGGGTGCGTGGCACTTTTGGGTTCCCTCTTATCATTCCTTTCTGCACATCTCTTCGAGGGCTGACATGGGAACGCATTATGGCTCGCAGTGAACAATGCAGGTGGCGGCCCTCTCGTCAAAGTCCTGGAAGCGACAAAAGAGGAAGTGGAAAAGACGTTTGCGATCAACACCTTCGCCTCGCTGTATATGACGCAAGCAGTGGTTCCCGTCATGCCTCGAGGGGGCCGCATCATCAACATTGGCTCCATTGCTTCGAAGCTGGGCGTGTCGCCAATACCGTTGTATAGTGCATCCAAAGCAGCGGGGGATGCGCTGTCTTATGCTATGGCCATGGAGGTATGTATGACCGTCGTCGACTGTAATTGATGGCTTTCCCAATATTGCTCTCTTCGCAAACATCTTGGACAACGGTTAACGTTAACGTGTTTCATTTCAGCTCGGACGTGGATATGGAATCACAATCAACACAGTAGCGCCCGGACCTGTTCCAACAGGTAAGTAGCTTCTGGCAACAAATTGTTCATTCTTCCGGATCCGGCTTGGTTGGAGTTCGTGCCTGGATTGTTCTTGTCAGGCACTAACTTTTCGGGGCAACACAGATGGTCTGCCTAAAGGCCCGGTGGCCGACGCAGTGCACAACTCTCTCATACCCATGACAAGGGCCGAAGAGAGAATGGGGACCGTTGACGATATCGCCGATGCGGTGCTGCTTCTTGCCTCGGAAAAGAGTCGATGGATCACAGGCCAGTTCATCTCAGCGAGTGGTGGAATCACGGGTGGATAGGACTTGACGCTTGGACAAGTTTGAGCAACTTCGAAAATTGAGCGAGGTCGGTGGAGTTCACCGGCAAGTGTGCTGAGATCCTGGGTAGTCTTCCTGGTCTGCTTCGGAGCAACACAAAGCATTATCAATCTCAAAAATGACTTTTGCGACACTCATCTCCATCAATTTATCAATCCAGATGAAACTTTGCGCAATTTCAATGGCGGCCTTGCCACTTTTGACTCCCATGGCTCTCATCACATTGAGTGTAGCCCTCGCATGCAGGAGATCGGGTTTGTCTGGCTGCAATGTAGCGACCATGATGATAGCCCAAAGGCTGAGTTCCGGAAAGTAAGTATCGATACGAGATGCCATGGGAACGAAAGTCGAGAATCGCTGTAGTAGTCCGGCGAGCTCATCAGCTATGAGTGCAAAGGCCTGTTTCACGCTGGCCACCACGATGAGCAAGGCGAGTCTGACCATCTCCTGAAGCACTAACTTCGGCAGGGTATGGCCAGATGAAGCCGGATCAGTGAACCGTCGTAATGATAGAAGTAAATGGAGAACAGGTGTGATTCGGCTTGCTGCTGAGGCGCCGTCCTTCCAAAACAGAGGATTTCCTCCATTATTATTCACAAACATTGTCAGATGTGCAGTCTTCTCAAGTGCGGTCGTCACATCGAAAAGTCCCTCAGAGGAGTCACGAATTCGCATGAGGAGATCCGTCAACGATGGAGACAATACGTTGTCTTGGGCGCTCGCAGAGGACAACCCAAAGGCAACCGGGAAGAGCGGCTTGCGGTCAAAAACAGAGGCACCAAGAATATCAAACCTGTAGGGGGTCAGTTATAACGCACTTCAGTCGTCTTTTTGCTCGTGCGGTTTGCCCATACCAACAGGTGAACATGACAATGGTACTGTTCAGAGTCTGAAAGCCGCCACGAACTTGAATAATGTTATTGAGACCCTGCATATGGACACCGTATCGGTCCCATCTGCCGACATTAGACTATCGAAACAATTAGCACCAGAGCTGGAATCGAAGTCCAAGGAACCGACATCGTGGCAGAGAAATCCCAAGACTGTAGTTATGACTCCGTCACTGATCTGATGGGTTTCCCTTTCAAGCCTTTGAGCCACCCCATTGAGACACAGGCTGAGATACTTTGAGGACTCTTCAAAGTCACCGTACTCACAACCTTTGCGTTCAGTCATTTGATGGAAGAACAGCGCTGCGTTCGCCAAGGAGAGGTAGAATGCGGTACGGTCGATAACAGCCATTGCGAACCACTCATTTCGGAATGGTCGATAGAGGTAATCACCCTCGCTATGCACTAATCCAATAAACAAGAGAACTAACCCAGATAGATCGGGGGAAGAGGCGTACTGAAGTGGATCAATTGGCGGGCTCTACCGTCTGTTTCCACGGGGAATAAAGCATAGGGATGAAGAGAATAAGCTACATTCTCGTAGCAGTGCTGGTCTTGATGTGCCCCGTGAGAACATATCTCCGCGTCGTCCTCACTGGCACCTCTGCCGACCTCAGCTGGAGGAAGCCTCACGGCGAAAGTAATGGATCTTGGAGGCTTTTTTCGCGATTGTCCAACGCGAGCCATGACATGGTGCCGAACGACCTTTTGGGTGCTTCTTCGTCTAGAGTCATCAGGATTGGATATGTTGATAAATGTGAAGTCTGCTGACTTCTCGCTGCACTCCTTTTTCAGCCCCATCTTAGCTGGATTGGTCCATAAATATGGAATGAAACTGACATGTTCAGAGGCGAGAAGTTGCGGGAGCCTTGAGGCAGCGAGTTCTGTCTGACTGAAAGGTGTCCGCGTCAGCGCACCCTACAGTGCCTAATTAGAGGGAATATTATTGGGCGGTGCTCATAATTTCTTGTCAGACTAGATTATTTCCACTCGCAGAGACGGCAACCAATCGAAAACTTGACCCGGCAAGTTATCCAAGTCCTTCGTCGCGCGACTGAAAAAAAGTGTCGGCATCATTGAATATTCTCCCTCCATGCCATCCGACTGTCTTTCACGTGGCTCATATATGGCTCTTTTCCTTCGCTGCACCCAGTGTTAGCGCTTCCTCACATGTCTTCCCATTCACTCCGTTCTTCGGGTCATGCTCAGATGGTTTGAGCAGCTTCCATCCAGAAGTCGGTTGTGTAGCCATTTAATTACTCCGCGTCTGTCGTTCTTCAAAGCTGGATTGAGTCCAAAGTTCGTCACTCCGAAACCTACGACGCGAAAGGCACTGTCATACTCCTCCTCCCTCCGAACCCGACGTCAAGATGCCTTGCGTCACCCATTCCGACCTCTATCCACTACAGCTCAGGTCAACAGGGCAAAGAAGAGCAAGGATGTGCGGAAAAACAACATCGATACGGCGATGTCATCGCAAAGAAGTCCCGAGGACTGGGTGGCCGAGATGGAGAGATTCCTTCCGCCGCACTTGAGTCGGCCAGATGATCTTGCATCTCCAACAATCATCCCACCAGAAGTGAATGTTGAGGATGTGCTTCGAACTCTTGTCGTGGCTCGGGATCAGAACGGTGTGGACATTCTGGGCTTCATGGTGCTCAGTCAACGCCGACATAAAGCCGTTGTTCACCTCGTCGAAATCTTGCTGAAGGACGTAGCCCTAGCAGCTAATGAGCCTTTCAAAGATGAACTGCCATCCAATATAGATTGGCCGGCTGGCTCGTTTGAAAAGCTGGATGGTGCTCCCATTGAGCTAGAGCGTACGTTGCACGTTAGCCGACGACCGCTGGGTACTTCTCAGCAGTCAGTTGAGTGCTCTTTCTCAGAGAAGAGCCAGGAGATTACGATGGAGTTCACCTGGTCTCTTCTGGCCGACCTTGTCTTGGCCTCTACCAAGCGACCCTCAGACGAAGGAAAACAGATCATGGACACTGTGCATCAGATTTTGGCACTCATTCACAAGCTGGGGCTCGTTCCAGCGACGATCTACACTTACAGCCTCCCACAGGGCACGACGACAATGCAACAATCGCCCATCCTTCATCTCCTGCACTCGAGAATTCTGTCGACGCTGTCAGATGCTGTCTGGCTTTCCCATCGGGTCGAGGTTACGGCACGTGCTGGTAAATCGGAAAGCAGTCAGTGGAATATCTTTCGAGAGCCACCACCTGGCCCCTTGCGGTCAAGGAAGCGAGAGCTTGGACCAGAGGTGTGGCTGGAGTTCATCCTCTGGTGCTGCGTTGAGGCTGGATTGGCGGCGACGGGAGCTCGAATCATCCAGTCATTGCAGACAGATACAAGGGCTCCTTGGCAAGCCATTCACTGGCCTGATAATCAAGTGCCTTCAACAGACTGGGACCAACAGATCCATAGAGGAAAACTGCAGCGTGAAGCGGGAGACTATTACGGGGAACAACTTGAAGGCGACACTCCCCGAAAATTCATCAGCACTGAAGTTGTTCTGGCCGTTGCTGACTGCCTGATAAACACCCTCGATGGGTCTCTTACAAACGACAAAGCGTCTGTCATGAAAATCCAAGACGATATCAAAGACCTGATATCTTTTGCGGGTCCGCATGGTCTTGCGCCTGCGTATTTCGACTATGTGGCTGTTCGTCTTCTTCAGACGGAAAATTTATATGACATACACAAAGTCGATTCTCTCCGAAAGTTGGCGTCTACTATCTCAGCGCTTCGAGACCTGCATAATGTGGACCAGAACCATCGGCAGAGCCCTGCGCTTGACTTCGAGTCCATTCTGGACCGCTCCGAGCTGCATGCCGGGATCCTCCATCAAGCTCTGCAGGCCTGCGTTGAAGCGAATCTCGTCCGAAAGGCTGTCGACACCTTCACAGAAATCCAGAAGATGGTTGACGGCAACAAGCTTGAGGCCATTGGAGAATTTTTGTCACTTTCACTAAGTCCAGGCGATGGCTTCTTTACTTCCAGACATGGCAAAGGTCGCAGCGAATTCCTCAACACCTATGGGCAGCTTCCTACCCACAAATTACCTCCATTCCTTGATCTGGTGACGAATGCGAAGCTGTTTGGCTTGGGAGACTGGCTCCTCTTCTCAGAAGACGTTGACGGGGCTCTCTTGCCTGCTTCCACCTGGGGAAAGCCGTCTGTTATGGCCGCTATAGTCCGCTATGCGTCGGCCAAGAACGACCCTCTTCTGGTCAGACATGTCTACAATATCAGCAGACGATCGGACAGAAAATTGACCGTGAGCGTCTTGAGAGCTTTGGTGGTGTATCATATTAATGCATGCGACTGGACAAATGCCGTTCTCAACCTTCGAGATCTACGACGTGCTGAAGGTGGCGGCTATAGCCCCAAGATTGTCGCCAGTCTCGCAGCTAAGATTCTAAACTTGGAAGTCGATCCGGTGGCCATGCAACAAGAAGATGCTGAGTCCGATCTTTCCCAGGCTCTCATGCTGCTTTGTAATATTCTCGATGGCACTTACGACTCCCCGCCAGCGAGCTTCAGGATCGACCAAAAGAAAACCTTTCGACAACAAGTAGGATACCTCTTACGCCTTCTGGAAAATGTGACAGACAGCGAACTTACAGACACTGCCACTCGGTTCAAATCAAGATTTCCTGTTAGCAACGAACCAAACCTTCTCACAGATACGTTCAACGTTGTATTTGGTGCAATCGTCGAGACCAAAGGTGTACTGGAAGGGCGCAATATGTGGCACTTATTCTGCAAAGATCCCAGGGACTATGCGACTTCATCCCTTGTGGTCGATGGCCAAGACTTTGCATATGAGGACCACGCCAGAAACAACGATTATGATGAATACTTCGATGAGAGCCTGAGTGATGCGCCGAACGATTTGATCCACGTCGGCGAACATGTCGAAGACAATTCTAGCTCAATGATGAGAACGGTCGAGCCGCTCTCGATCTCCAATGCCACACACCATGCAGGAATTCAAGTTGCTGTTGTTTCTCCCGCCTCGCTCAACATCAATGCCGCATTACCAAGCAATGAGTCAGGTTGGGAGAGCAACCAATATTCCAGCGAGTCAGGCACAGGGAGCGGAGACACCGACATTCCTATCGAGATGTCGGATACGGGCGTGGATCCAACGCAGCTCAATCCAATTGTCGTGCCCAACATGCGCACCTTGCAAATCCTTGTCAGAGGAGCTTTGTCTGAGATACAAGCCAGAAAAGAACGCAAAAGAGGTCATACGGACCTCGATGCAGTCCTCAGATGGGCCGAGCAGTTCTACGGAGCGTTTAACCTGGCGCGTGAGGATATCGAAACAGAATTCCGGCTTTCCGAAGTCGTGCCGAGGAAATTGAAAATTGCTACGAAGCATCGCCGAGCAGCACACAGAACAACACGTGAGAAGTACAAACTCGGTGTTGGCAAGCACTTTACCAAGGGAGCCTTTGTATCTAGACGTCCTGGGTCTCAACGACCGGCTCAGGCACCAGCCTTGAGAGAGGCGTCCAACAGTGTGACAAAACCTGCGGTGGACGAAATGGAGAAGGGCGAGACTCAAGATGAAGGCACACAGCTTGAGCCGGCGCCATTGCCGAACTTCAAGGTGCGGAAGTTCGCGACCTCCGTTCAACATGCTTAGGGTTAGGAATATGGAGCGGAGGTTCGTGAAGTGTAATTTAAGAGTCTACGATCTTCCATTGTACAATATCACTCACATATATTAACATCTTTGATACTTTCAAAAGTAGATCGACTCAGTAACACTCTTCCTCCACTGACCACGACGCCGTAGCACTCATCAAATGCTGGAATCAGTATGGAACTGAAAGAGATCCTTGACTCTTGGTATTGACAAGGCTCGGGAGATAGGAGTACTCCTGTACATACTGTATGAGCAGAACTCCTCAGCAGAAATGTATAGATGAGTTCAGATTACATCAAGCACATTGAAGGGGGAGAGGGTTATGTACACAATGCGGGAAAAAGTCTAGGGGAAGGAGGCCTCACCAGCCAGCTTCAAAGGAAGTAAAGTAAGTCAATGGTCGGATCCGCAATCTCCTCTCTCCCTCCTCACCCCTCTCTCAATATCCCTACCGCTCTCCCCCCGCAAAAAGTCCAAGGTCCACAAGACAAAATGACATGGCATGCATGCATGCATGCACGCGGGACAAAGGACAAAGGACAACATCAGCTAGTAACCAGTAGCTAGTGATGCCACCGATGCCACCGATGCCACGCACGACACCATGGCAATTTCCCCTCTTTTTTTGCGAGAATTCCTTATTGCCCTCTCTTCGCACGTTCCGCGTGCAATTCTAGGCTTTTCTCCGGCCTTGCGGATGTGTTAAAGTGGGTGTTTCAGTTGAAAGAAAAACCTTGATGCGAAAATAGGTTATGATGTCTACGTATACATTGTCAAAGAGAGGGAGGGAGGAGGGGGGAAGATGGGAAAAGCATAAATGTTATATCTATCTAGGTTAGGTACCCCTCGATTCGATGACCATGATGATAGTTCTATGTCTATATATATATACTCTAAATGCGCTGGAGGTACCTGGCTGGGTTGTTAGGCAGGCAAGCAGGCAAACGATCTACGAGTAGCAGAGCATTCATCCCCTCTCACGCCCTCCGTACAGAACGTAGTGTACCTTCACGACCTGTTGTTCTCCTCCTCCTCCGCTACAAACCCGGTCAGCATTTCTCCTCTTTCCCTCGTTGGGAACCCCCCTGTCGTGGCCCAGTCGGTCGTCCAAGGAAAACTACCGGGAGTAATAATATCTCCAGCATCTCGTTACGGAACGCGGGGAAGCGGGACCTAAAGGGGGAGAAAAAGAAGGATAATACAGCAAAAAGCCGCTATGAAGATCTCGTCTGTTGTTCTGACTTTCCTCACCTCGATCGTACCGGCCGCCATGTCCCAACAAGTCAACCGCACCGCCACAAACGGCTGGGGTTCGACGCCTTCGCAGCGCCACTATATTAACCATACCCAAGCCTTGCAGGTCATCAATGCAGGCATTCAGCGGGCAGAGGCTATAGGGTAAGTGTTTTTGGCGCTCGTTCATCCCCATCCAAAAGGGCGACTTGTCGGGTTGCACGAACAGTCGCGTATCACCTTTTTGATTTTCGTTGACTGAGATATTGGCATAAAGCGTACCGCAGAACATTGCAGTGCTCGATCCGTCGTCATGGCTTGTGGCTTTTGTCCATATGGATAATTCCTACCTGGGAAGCATCGTAAGTCATGCACGCGCCTACCATATGTGATAAGGACCATTGCTTATGGAACTGCCAACCAGGACATATCCCAGAAAAAGGCCAAAACCGTGGTGCTGTACAACGGCATCCCCAACAACGCCTTGCAGAACCGCAGCGAGCCAGGTGGCGATCTCTGGGGCATCCAGGAAACCAACGGCGGTACGGTTGTCTTCGGGGGAGGTCAACCAATATTTGACCCTGATGGGTACTTTATTGGCGCCGTCGGCGTGAGTGGAGGTACCGTGGGTCAGGATATTGATGTGGCGGTGCATGCGGCGCAGAGTATTGGCACGACAGTCACGTCGTCCTGAGTCTGATTCTAGAACAAGGACGAGAGAGCCACCAGAGGGATTTGTGGTGCTGACACGGAGGTTGCGGATGTGACGCGTGTTGTAGTCCGGAGACGAGGTCAGCACCTGGAGTGAAAGCGCCGAGTTGGATCGGCAGATGGATCGGAACCAGCCAGATATGCACAAGTCCAGAGTGATACAGGGTGTCTTTACCAATCAAGAAACCTGGCCTTGTCGCTGTAGTCGTCATTGAGTACAATATCTGACATGGTATTCAGGCCGCCAAACAGTAATCATGTGTTTTCACTGGCGTCTCTGCCGTCATCCCGCAGCTGAGCTTGCATTGAAGCAGTCCTTATGTTGGTATATAGACAAGGACACAATAGACGATGCCTAGAGGGTTGTTCAGCTCTTTGCGGATAAGAACACTTGGATCTTGACCTGAGTAAACAAAGACATACTCCACCAATCACGAAAAGACCCTTATCAGAGCGTGCACAGTATTATTTTTGATTATCATGGCGTGGAATTCTGCATTCAGCCACCACAAGCCTGCACGTGGGGAGTCTCGACCGCAACGACATGAATACAACGTCTTGAGGAAGAGAAGAGGAAACCGACAGAAGGATATGCACCGGCCGAGCAGAGACACGTTGGTGAACGACGACGGGGACGACGGATCGTTAGACTCTTGGAAGCAGAGAACCCAGGTTCAGAAGGTATCGAGATGGAAGCGGATGTTCGGACGTCGGGCCGGGAGCTAGGGATTGTGATGATTTCGCAGGGACACCTGTTACGAGGCGTATGAGTTTCCCTTTGGGGGCGCTGGTCTGGCGGTGAATGGCGTTGTGCGAAATACAGTGGCTTGTTTCAGTGACGAGACCAGCACGCAACTGGCAGTGCGCAAGCCACTTGGGTGGCTTCAGGAGACACGCACTCAACCGATTTCTCCCGGGCTGTGGCTCGATGCAAGGCTGTGGTATCGATCAGACAAGGATAAATAGCAGGGTTTCGCCGAGTCGCCTGAAGGATTGACCAACAATGACCGTCATGGCGCTTGTATTGAGAGGAAACGAATTCGTACAAGTCAATTCGCCAACCCAAGACCAGCCTAGCGATTCACAGTCAGTGTCACTGGTCCTTTGGGGGGATTTGCTGGGACTATAGTATTCTCAACGCTAAATTTGCATGAATCTTTTCTTTCATCCATGTGGGCTCCTCATGGCAATGTTGAGACTTTCCCTATTTACCCAGGAAAAATGCTACAGCGGTAAATACCTGTACATGGCGCAGCTTGACAATATACCATCATGCCACCCACAATCCGTCATATCATCACGCGTTTGTCTAACAACCAGAGTCTCCAACGGGTGCCACGTTCCGAAAATCTTAGCTCAACCACAAGATAACACAGCATCCATCCATGTGTCATCCTAACTCCTCCTTATTGTGCTGTCGACCCATCAGACCTTGTCCCAAGGACTTTGACTGAAACATCTTGCGACCCGAGCTATTTTGCAGTGCTCCTCTCTTCACATGAGACCTTGACACGCCGCAGCGCAGTCTGCTACTTATCGAGATGGACACCCACGACCTTGTTGACGACAGCGCCCTTCAACTACTATTGTCGACACTATGATGGATTCATCCGAACAATCAGAACAATCAGAAACGATGAAGGAGCCGCCGCCTTTTGTCGAGAGCAGCTCCCACCGTCTGAGGCATCTGACCTGGGTAGGGCTTGGTCACCATGAATATCACAAACAACAATAGGGCACTAGATAACTGACGAGCTTCATCTGCCAGGCATGGTTCACATTCCCAATGGCCACAGGCGGTTTGGCGATACTGCTGTCCCCGAAGAATCAACCACACACCTTCACGGGCCTCGAGACCATTGGCAAAGTCGTCTACATCTGCGACCTGTGTATCTTCACGCTGATCGCCTCGGCCATCACATACCGGTTTATACGATGGCCTGGAACTCTCAAAGCGAGCCTGGTTCACCCGACCGAGTCTCTCTTCTTTGGCACGTCCTTCCTCTCGCTTGCTAGCATCATCGCCGGCATGGCTCTGTACGGCATCGAGCACACCGGACTTTGGCTGGTGGTGACCTTCCGCGTTCTTTTCTGGCTGTATTTCGCCTGCACATTCATTGCCGCCGTCGGACTGTATTGCATGCTCTTCACCAACCCTCGACTAAAGATCCAAGATATGACCCCCGCTTGGGATCTACCGATGTTTCCCTTTATGCTTAGCGGCACCATCGCCGCTTCGGGCATCGAATTTCAGCCTCGTGCGGCCGCCATGCCGATGCTCTTCGCGGGGCTGACGGCGCAGGGCCTCGGCATGCTCATCTCCATGGGCATGTACGCCAGCTACGTCCGACGGATGATCAACTACGGATTTCCCTCGCCGGAGTCGCGGCCGGGCATGTTCATCGCGGTCGGTCCGCCGAGCTTCACGGCGCTGGCCATCATCGGACTCGCGGACCACTGGCCGCGCGGGTACGACTACTTTGGGCCGGACGACATCACGGCGCAGGTGGTGCGGATCCTGGCGCTGATGACGGCCGTCTTCGTCTGGAGCCTGTCGCTGTGGTTCTGGGCCATCAGCGTGGTCAGCTGCCTGGCCGTCTACCGCACGTTCCGCTTCCACTTGAACTGGTGGGCCTTTGTCTTCCCCAACGTCGGCTTCACCCTCGCCACCATCAACATCGGCAAGACCCTGCGCAGCGACGCCATCACGTGGGTCGGCTCCGTCATGACCGTCCTCATGGTCTTCCTGTACTTTTTCGTCCTGTGCCACCACGTCCGCGCCGTCTGGCGCAAGGACGTCCTCTACGCCGGCAAGGACGAGGACCACTACCACAAGGAGCGCATGGCCAAGATTGAGCGCCTCGGCGGCGACCCGGAGAAATGTACCTGTGCCGTCACCGGCGGCAGGTGAATCCCCTTGCCCCCTTAATTTTTTGGGTTCTTGAAATGAGATAAATTTCTAGAATGGATTTATATTACATTTTGTATAGATATAGATATGGATATGAATATGGACATGGATACACAGGGCTCTAGATAGAGAAGAGTAGAGC